TTAATTTTTTGTGATTTTGTTGGTGTAGGCATTGCCTTTGGATATTGGGGAACGAAGCGACATTGAGTAACAGTAACTCAATTTGGAAGAATCTAATTCTTGATACGAAGAAACGCAATTGTTTCTATAATGTTGATGAGGACAATAACTTAGCTCAGGCTATTGCAGCAGCCCTTCTAGAGCATAACCAACTACATACTCTGCTTGATGCTGATTCTCTGCTGTTCAAAAATGCAAAATGGAAGGTATGCTGCTACTTCTGGTTTTCCCTTTTTGTAGTCATCATAGTATTTGCTTATGTGTTCATTAGCAATAATCAGTCTTTTTCCGATATAGGTTTGGTTCGCCAACGAATTTAGGAATTCAATAGCAGAAATTAAAGACACCGATATTCGACAGGACGTAATTTCTTTAGTAAAAAAACTTTCTAATGGTTGGCGCCAATCTCATAATGATAAAGTGATTATAGTCCATGGTGGGACTTCTGCTGAATTGCTAGAGACGTATGAAGTCAATGAGCTGCTGTATCTCATCTGGAGCGTAGAAATTCACAAGCAGAACTCAGATTTTGTCCAGGTTATGAAGATTTGGGACATTGTCCTACTTTCTGAAATTCCTAAACTTACACAGCGCCTTGACATTATCTTTGGGAATTATACCATCGATAAGATGAACCGTTGCAAACACAGACGTTTTGATGGGTATGTAAATTGTCCTTGGAACTTCTTTTTTTTCAACTTTTATTCCTCACAGGTTGGCAAAAAAACACAGTTTCATAATACCTATAACTTCAGTGGATTTAGCTTAAATAATTCGTTATTACTTCGTTGGTGATCAGGGTCACTGTTGTTCCGAATAGATGGCCAGCAGATTCGAGCAGCTGTGACGAAGCTGATCCAACAGAGTTCCTTTCAAAACCATTTTCTTCACTCAGTCTGAGAGATAGGCCATCATCAAGTTCATCTTTTAGGTATGTTGCATGCATGCGGTCGAAAACATTTAAGCCTGTTGGGATATCCAGCTTTCTCTTCCTCTCTTTTACAACACAAAATATGTAGTGATAATCACCATTTCTCTAATTTGTGTTCATGGATTGCTTTAATTTAAGTACTAATTACTTCGTATTAATTATTATTATCAGAAATAATTTTATGTCCAGAATGAGTGGAACCAAGGGCACCAGATCGAGGCCAAGATGGTAGTTAATGTTGCTTATATAATGGTACAATTTCCTATATGTTCTTCTTATTACAACATTACATTTGAGAAATCTTTTCATAAAACAGATTTTTCATAAAACAGATTTTGGTAAATGCTAACTATTTTGAACTTTAAAATACACTGTGCAGCAGCATCAGCAGGAGGCAAGGTGTTTTAGCTGTATGTTGGCAAGTTGTAGCCATTGCCAATTTACCGGATGTAGAAGAAGCATGTTTCTGTTGGTCTTTAATTTCTTGATGCGGCAATTCAGTGAAACAATTATCGAAATATATGAACCATTTTTATTACTTGATAACTTCTATTGGCGTTGTTTTTTTTTCTTTTGGTTTGGTTGAAACTTGAAAGTTCTTGTTTTTTTTCTTGATTGTGGCTGTTCATGATTCATGGGTCCTCTGTTATTCTTGTGAAGTCCTATTTAAAAGTTTATTTTAAATATTAAATTTTACATTTAAGTTAATTATTTTTAATTTAATATTAATATTGGCTTAAGTGCTACAATGCCCCCTGAAACATTGGTCAATTCCCACTAAACTCCCTTAAAGTTAAAGTGACTCATTTTGCCCCCTTGACCGATATTTTGTGTCTCACTTTGCCCCTCACTGTCAAGTCTGTTAAAAATTCAGTGAAAAATGCTGATTTGGCACCAATAGGACCCACTATTTTGCTAAACTAAGTGCCATGTGTGAAGAAAAAAAATTAAAAATTAAAAATTGTCTTTTAAAAAACTTAATGTAACTATTAATAATAAAAATAATACTTTAAAACTGAAAAATCCCCAATTCCCCTCCTTCACCCCATTATCCCTTCCCACTCCTCTCTCTTCCTCTCTCACAGACCCAAAGGAAGCAAACACCAATCGAAACCCAGATCAGAAGCAGAAGTTTTGGGCTTTGTTTTAAAAGACAGAGATCAGCCCAGATGGTTTTGAAGGCCCAGACCCTTGTTGAAAGGACCCGACCCAAATTACACTTTGGAATCCGAGCCGAACCCTTTGTGTGTTCGACACCTGGCGGGTGCCGGGCATAAATGACCAAAAAAAACCTTTTTATACCAAACCCAAAGACTCCAACTCATGGTTGCACCTTGTAACCTTAGGTTGCCTACGTACCCTTACTGAGGGATCAAGCTACACGCAGTTCTTTCCTCTACTCATATCAGTCACACACTGAATATAAGTATGCCCTACACTGAACTCCCTTATCTTGGTTTAAGAATGTCTTAGACTAAAATCCTCTCCACCTAGGTGTACCTCTAATCCTGATCCTTCAACTCCATTAATACTGTTAATACCCTCTTCGCAGGCCTCGGAGATACCACTTCTATTCGGGCCGCACCCTAGAAAAAACTATCTATTCATCCCTTAACATGATTTAGATAACTCCTTTCGGTCATGACTCGTTTACTATAAACCTAGCCCTAGGGTTGGCATTTCTAGAGTGTCCGGGACTCCGTTTTACAATTTGTCGAATCTTATACGATCCTGGCATTATCTAGATCAATGTATCTATAAATGACTGTGATCCAATGGCTCAAACATGTTGAACCCGGAAATCATACACTAGGCGAGATCCGTTCGGGGCTCAAACGTTATCCGAATTGGAATCCGTGAGTACCCACTCACTCGTGAGGACCAAGGGATTATTCTAGGACTGAATGTGGTCCCCACCCTGCTGCCTACATGCCGCCACACGAACCGGCAACGCGTGGGTGGCTTGATCAATTTTCGGCGGCCGGAAAAACTCTAAACCGCCGGCCTAAACTCCTACTCTAGGTGTAACACCCTGTTTGGAACCACTTTTGTTCTTGGACCTACCCCAAAAAGGGGTCGGAAGTGGCCGGAATAGCGATCCCAAAATCGGCCAAACCCTAACTCGAAAATTAACCTGTCTAACCTAGAAATTTCTTTGATCCTACCCAACCATCAGCTAGAGCACAGAAAATAGCTAGAAATCAATACCTTATTCATCCAATTTGGCAGTCAGAGGTGAGAGAACGAACAGTGGAAAGTTTTGACAGAAACTAGGCTGTTTTGGCCATTTTTCGGCGACTGGTGTTGCTGTTAACGACAGAGGAAGGGTAGGATAGGAGGAGGGTGTCGGGCCGGTTCGTTTGGGACCAATGCACCCCAAACGATGGCCGGATGCGACGGTGGTGTCCCAAAAACCAAGCTGATGATAGTAACAGGAGGAAGAGGAGGTGCTGCCCGCGAAACAGAGGGAGAAGAAAATAAATAGAACCTGAGTATTGTAGCACTTGGACTGTAGCGGCATTGTTGCTACAGTAACCAATTTTAAAATTCCCATTACGTCCTTTTCGTTTCTAGACCTTTCCTCCTTCGTTACAACTCGGAATCGGGCGTGCCGCATGTCTACGAATTCGTATCAATGTGCTCTATGCAACGATACAATTGAAATTCCCAAATTCCTTCCCGGCCATAAAGTCAACTTTTAAACTATATAAAATATTCTGAGGGTATACTAGTCCTTTCCTTGAATAAAATAATAATTAAGAATTAATTGAGGATTAGGTTGTTACACTTGTAGACTAATTAGCTAGGATTAAATTCATGAATTAAAGATTAATTACCATTTAATGGTGATTTAATCCGGACAAGACAGTTGCTAATTGAATTTAAGATTATGCCCAGTTTCAAATGTCTCCAAAAGCCCACGAAATTTGATCATCACCGTTGATCTCAATTCAAATCAATAGATATTTTGGAAGATCTTTTTCTTAGAAGAAGGCCCATGTGACTTTGAAAGTTAAAGTTTTCAATTGAAGCAAAGGAAGTGATGGGGAGTTAATGAAAACTGGTTAAGCAAAAGAACACTGTCCATAAACATCTAAAAAAGACAGAAAAAAGGGGCAGCCAAGTTTCCTCTCCATACTCATAGAGGGCTCTACATTAGAACAGTATGTGTTTTTTAAAGAAAAACTGAAACAACCTGACCCGATTTCCACTTTGGAATGCGGGTCGAAACCTGTTTAAAATTGACATCTGGTAACCGTGGGTCGTAAATGACCAAAATGCCCTGAAAACAGTAGCATAAACCCTGAGCCCCTAACTCGTGGCTGCGCCTAATAACTGTAGGCTGCCTACGTACCCTTACTAAGGGATCAAGCCACACGTAGTTCTTTCCTCTATTCCTGATCTGTAACTGGTTTGTTTTACTGTAAACCTCACTCTAGGGTTGACATTTCTGGAGTATCCGAGACTTCGTTTTACGATCCGTCAAATGCTATACGATCCTGAAATTACCTAAATCAACATACTGGAACATGATTACGATCCAACGGTTCAAACCTGCTGAACCCGGGAATCACCCACTAGGCGAGGTCCATTCGGGGTTCAAACGTTATCCGAGTTAGGATCCGCGAAATCCTACTCGCTCGTGGGGACTAGGAGATTATTCTAGGGCTGACTCTGGTCCCCACCCTGCTGCCCACGCGCTGCCACACGCGCCGGCAGCGCATGGTGCCTAAAGCGATAACACTCCGCCCAAAAAACTCTAAATCACGGCTCAAGACTCCTACCCTCGGTATAACACCCTATTTGGAGCCACTTTTGTTCTTGGACCTACCCCAAAAATGGCCGGAAGTGGCCGGAACAGTGACCCGAAAGTCTGCTGAAACCTAACTTAAAAATCGAACGATCTACGCTTGAAATCTCTGAAATCCTACCCAACCAGCAGCTAGAGAATGGAAAATAGCTAGAAAAACATACCTCACTCGTCCGATTTGGTGGCCGGACGACGGAGAACAAGAGCTCGAAAATTCTGTCAAAAACCGACTGTTTTCGGGCTGTTTCCGGCGGCCGGAGCTGCTGCCAGGGGCTGGGATGCGGCGGAACCGATGGCTGGGGTGATGGCGGTCCTAACCTGACCGGTCCCGTGGCCGGCCGTGGTGTGTGGCGGTGCTGGTGGCTTGAAGAGGCCACGGCTGGAGGAGAGAAACCGGGGGGGGGCGCTGGGTCGCAGAGGAGAGAGGGAGAGATCAGTTTTAAAACATCTGACCTGGCAAATTACCATTTTGCCCCTGAACGTATTTTGACCGTATCTCCCTCAATACAACTCGGAATCGAGTGTACTGCACGTCTACGAACTCGTTTCTTCGCACTCTACGCAACGGTATAACTGAAATCCAAAATTCCTTCCCGGTAAAAAAGTCAACTTTTATATTATTAAAATATTCTAGGAGTATAGTGGTCTTTTATTGGAATAGATTAATAATTAAATATTAATTAAGGACCGGGTTGTTACAAAAACAAACAATAGACAGGAGAGTTTTTGGCCAGAAAAAGCAAACAGACCATCATAAAAGTTGACTGTTGATGGTTCTTCTTTGCCAGAATAATAACTTCCCCTTTTTGTGGCATTAGAAAAGGAAAATCCTTTTAAAAGATCTTCCCACCAAATAATAAAAACCATCATTTAGAGTTCTCTATAAAATATGAGAGGAGGTGAACAAGTTGGAGGACAGCAAAAAATCAATCAAGACAAAAACTCTCAAGTTATATTGACAAATTCAAAAGATCAAGGTCATTCAAATCTCAAAAGCCTTTAGACTCTGAAGTAATCAAGCTAGAACTCAGGTTTCTGACCTCATTTCAATTAAAAAAAAACAATTCACAAAGGAAACGAGACTTCTCTCGTTACAAATTTGGTCCAACATAGACCAAATCAAGCAGGATTCAGGTTTTTCACAATATGAAAACCACAACAAATTTATAGAGACGCCTTGATCAAGCAGAACATGTACTATAGTGCAGCTCCAGTTCAGCAATCATTAATCCAGTCACTTCCAACGCTATCCAGACTGAAGAGGCCTCAATTCTGCCCATCCAAAAAGCCTCTCCATGGCTTAAACATATTAAAGCTCTGCCAATCTCAAACATTTGCATCGATTTCCAGTTGAAACCCATCAATTGAAGGTTCTGACGTTCGAAACAAGCATAGACATATCCAATCCAGCCTGACTCAAAGGTAGCTACCCAAACAGAAATCGAAGCCCAACGTTCTGTGATCCTTTTCGAACATGGCAGTTCTATTTTAAGTTGTGTAATAGGTAGTTCTGCTAAAAAAAATTTGATTTCTTTTAATACTTATTCTAGTTAGAACTCCCAATCTTTACTGTGGAAAATTGTGAAGTCCTCACCAGACTGAGGTAGGACAATAACTTACTTGGGAGATATTCCTCACCCAAATTCACAACCATTTGTTTAGAGTCAGTAAACTTGGCGCGCAAGTTATGTATTTTTAAGTCTGTTAGGGTTTTTAACTGCTAACAGTGGCACACTCATACACAAAAGAAGATTGACTTGTTGACCACCGATGGTTTTCAAGTTAATGGGAAATTTTACCCTACAATCACATGATTAAATCAAAACAGGTGAACAAAACATTACAAGATTAGCATGCTAATAATTAGGAATTAGACAAAGATTGTTTCATCAGCTGCTACAAAGCAGAAACATAAACTTCATTCCTTATTAAATTAAGCAATACTAAACCCAACAAACAAACAACAACCCAAAAACAAAATCTTTAATTAATTTTTTACACGTAAAAAAACTAAAACCCACCCACCCAAACACCACCTTCCTTCTCCTCCCAAACAACAAAGATTGTTTCATCACTCAAACCGATTAGCAAACCTCATCCAAACCCGCAGAAGGACAGCACCCGGAAATTGTGCTTGTTGATGTGGTGCTCTTCGTCGGCGAGGGTCAGGACCTCACTCTCGTCAACGTAATCAACGCTGATGGCTTCGAGGATTTAGGCCTCAACGAAGTGGTCGATTCAGGCCTTGGCCATGATGAGTATCGTCACGGCCTGCTTGATTTCTTTGATGAGTTGCGGGTTTCGACTAGTGTTTGCTTCCTTTGCTCACCACCAACATCAGGGATGAGTGTTTTGGCCATTTGGGCTTCATTCTTTCCAAAGTTTGGGATTTTTTTTCTTTGTTTGGGTCAAGGTTGGAGAAGGGGCCTTGGTTACTACAAAGACGACCAAGGGTATTGGAGAATGGTTATGATGATTTGGGTTAGGAGATGAGGGCTATGGTTTTGGCTTAAGAAGGGGGTTGTGTTTTGGATCTGCAAGAGAGGAAGAGAGAGGAGTGGGAAGGGATTGGGGATTTTTTGGTTTTAAAGTATTATTTTTATTTTTAATACTTAAATTAATTTTTTTAAAAGACAATTTTTAATTTTTAATTTTTTTTCTTCACACATGGCACTTAGTTTAGCAAAATAGTGGGTCCTAGTAGTGTCACATCAGTATTTTTAAAGGAATTTTTAACAGACTTGACAGTGAGGGGCAAAGTGAGACACAAAACATCGATAAAGGGGGCAAAGTGGGTCACTTTAACTTTAAGGGGGTTTAGTGGGAATTGACAAATGTTTCAGGGGGCACTGTAGCACTTAAGCCTATTAATATTTTTTTAATTAGTGAAACTAACAGCATTGAAGCATTGGACTTGATTGTGATGAAGAAATTGAGAAAATTAGAATCACATTGACCAAAATCGTCCCTAAACCCTAACCTAGTGATCAAAATTGATTTTTACACTATTTGATAAGGTGTAGTATTTTTTGTTTTTTTGGGTCGAGGAAAATGAATAATTCATTACCAAATATAATTACAAGAGAGCCCAAACCACAAGGTGTGGTGTGGTTGGCAAACTGCCACCTCCAGCTGACAAGCTACCTGGTGCCTCAATGGTAGAGGTTCGAAACCCGTTGGAAGCACTTTGTGGCCAGGGGCAAGCTGAACCCGGAGAGGGGATTAATCCTACCCTTCGGGTGTGGGGGACACCTTGTGGTATTAACAACCAAACAAAAAAAAAAAAAAAAAAAAAAAAAAAAAAAAAAAAAGGTATATATAGTTTATATTTTTATAAAAGAGCCCCCAACCCCCCCCCCAAAAATAATAGTCAGTCAGAAAAAAACACTCAAAATAAAACCAAAGAAAACCAAAAAAAAAAAAAACCCCAAACACCAAAAAGCACCCAAATTATAAAAACCTTTTAAAAAAAAAAAACCCCCTTAAATACAAATCAAATCATCACACCTCACAGCAACTGCAACTGCCCACCTCTGCTAGATATGTCGTTGTCGCCACAAGAAGACCAAGTTCCAAAGGAAGCAAGAAAAGGAAGATATGTAGAGCAAACAAGGGACCAATATGCATCATACTCAAGTGATCATCAAGTAGTGGTCAAAATTTATGTTTGTGCAAATTTCTGCATGGGGAATATTCGTGGATTGATTCCTCGACCTTCGATCTTCCTTCTATCTCTTTCTCGATTCCTAAAAAATAAATACGAGTAAATAGACCACACTCGGGGCGTGTTGGCCAAAGGCCCTCCGATGCCTAAGTTAGTTCAATTGGATCTTTGATAAAAGATACAACATAGCTAAAATGGATGAAGTTATCTCTCATGGGAAGAGCCGGGCGGCCTTAGCCATGTGTGGTGGTACTTAGGAGAGAGGGGATAGAGAGTGGCGGCAAGAGAGGGTTTTTCGGGTGAGGAAGAGTTACCTTGAATGTCTTGTGTAGCCATGTATTTATAGGCTCCTTGTGTGCTAGGGTTTGAAGAATAATCCTTATTTGGTTAGGATTATTCTTACCTATAAATAGGAGATTTGATGGAAATCTCATCTTTGATTTGGGGAGATATTCTCATCTTAAATCAAAGATAACTTTCCTAATTAAATATGATTTAATTAGTGTGATCAATAGACTTAAGGAACATTCCTTTTCCATGTGTCGCCCATCTATTGGTTCCCGAAATATGTGTTCCCACATTTTACCATTGAGTTACAAAGCCCACATAGCTCAAAATGCATATTAAAGTCTTAGATATGATAATGGGTTGTAGAAGTGAAGCAGTTGCAGCAAACCAGCAGTCGACCCAGTGAATCCTAGGGAAAGAGAACTTCAGAGTGTGAGATTTGGTAGGAGGAGAAGAGATAAGGATAGATGCATGGAGGTGTGGTGGGATGAAGGGAAAAAAAAGATGAGGGAGATCTAATGGCTGAAAAGGGCAACATGAGATGTAGAGGGGAAAGTGAAGGACGTTTTGGTCAATACTAGAAATTTCAGGGGAGAAAGGGCATCGAAAGTAGAAAGAGAAAATAAAATAGAGGAGAGGGAGAAGTCATACCAGAGGTGCCGGAGAAGCCGCCTTGAACGTTAGGAAGGGATTTATCCTTGAATGAGTTTCGAGGCAGGCAAACTTCCGCAGGGTGCAGGTCACATGTACTCTTGGAGAACTCACCTAAGTGAGAGACATCGTGAGGCCGCGATTGTGAGAATTGGGCTATTATCTAGTAACTCTTATGAGAATCAAGATTAGCGCATGGCCATAAATAACGCTACCCCGCATCCGAGTCTCAAGGTCTTAAATATCGATAATTTCGGAAATATTGGTGGTTCAAAAACACGGAAATATCGGAAAAATATCGATATCGATAAAAATTGGATAAAAATCACGGAAATTATGATAAATACAAGGAAATTTTTAATGAAACTTTAGAAGAAGTTTATTTAGTCAATCATCTATTATTTTGACACAAAAAGTTGGAAGAAAATGCATTGCATAGTTGGTTTGTGTGATTTAAGTTGATTATATTGCGACCTGACAAACTCTGTGACTTAGAAAATCTGAAGTAATTAATGAAAGAAAATTAAACACCCCTTAGTAATTTATTTATCATTTTTTAGTACAATATTTTACACTTTATAAATTGCATGATAAGATACATGAGTAACCTTATTTCACGTTATTCACTGGACATGGTACACGTTGTTATATCTATTAATTTATCAAAAATTGAAAAATAATTAAAGATGTAAACCAACTTGATTTGTCATGAAAATTGGGCACTTTAACATGCTTAAAAAATAATAGTGAAGATTGAAAATTAACTAAGAATATAAATAAATTTATCCAATGAAGAATTAAATAGGAAATAAAGAAAATGATTATAGAAATTTAAGTAATTAAGCAACAATTTATTTCACATTAT